CTCGTCTCGCCTCTTGGTCGTGCCCCCCCCCCTTCCACTCCCCACCTTCCCCTTTCCTGAATCTCCGCATCTCGCCGCCAGAGTGCAGGCCGGCGGAGGCCGAGGCGGTGGCGGTGACGTCGGTGACGTCCTAACCCCCACATCCTTCCACATTTCGAGCGAGATAATACATCGCTTGCGCCGTCGTCTATGTCAACTGTCATATAGATTGGGCGGTTTCAACTGCGAGAGCACTCTCCCGTGTGGTTACTGCCGCACCTGTCGGTACGTCAGTTACAATTTCTGAGTTTGGAAGTGTACTCAAAGTGTCATTACCTTAAGTACGATCCTATACGATAGTTCACCATAACTTTCCCACAGGGTCACTCTCCCCAGCAGAGAGTCGCACAGACTTCTATACGATTCTGGAGTCAAGTTCGGCGACGTGTTAAGGTTGTACTTAGGCCCCCCGTGTAGCCGCTGGACGTAATATATGGGTAGGAGACGCGGTGTCAGGAGATGCCTGACAGCTGCTCCCAAGGGGAGGTGCTGGTATGGAGCTAAGAAGGGCAGGCGGCCACTACCTCCACAAGTCCCCGACATGACGAGTGTCGCGACACCCACTCCTCATGGGGGCGGCGAGGGATTCAAAGGATTTGAAACAAGTACAAAGGTGGGTATGTCACATATTTTCAGTCTCCGTTAGGTCTTTCCAACATCTGCTAACCTGATTTTAACCCCTGCAGTGCTTTGATGGCCGCCCAACGTTACATTGTTTATCACTCTTCGATGGGATATGCGCTGCACATGTGGCTCTCAGTTCCTTAGGAATAACTGTTGGAACATATTTTACGTCGGAGGTCTGTCAGGAGTGCCGGCGTGTCCAGGAAAGAAACGTACCTTTTGCTGTCCAGCTCGGCCCCATCGAGACACTTACAGAAGATATTCTAGAGGCCATTACATTGCCTATATCCCTCGTGATAGGTGGGTCGCCATGTGCCTCACTCAGCAGAGTAAATCCAACTCGTGTCGGCCTGCATGAGGGGACTGGGAAATTATTCTTTGACTTTCTGAGAGTCAAAAATTTTCTCCGTGATAAGGCACGAAGGAATGGGCATGCTTTCTATTGGTGCTTCGAAAATACGAGGCATTTAGACTCTCATGTCCTTATGGAACTCAACAACTGTCTGAAGAAGAAACCAATAGTGTTGTGTGCGTCTGAATTTGTACCAATGAAACGGCCCAGATTGTTTTGGGGTAATTTGGACAGCCTCTCGCAACAAAGAGTGCAAACAGAGTGCATTCTGGTGTTGGATGACTTTTTAGATTACGGCCGGCAGGCGCAACTAAAACGTTTAGGTACTCTCACTACTAATTTAGCGTCTCAGAGAGGTCCAAATGGTGAACTTCCAGTTTTGGAACGTTCTAGGGCGGTGTACCTGTCAATAACCGAAATGGAAAGATTGTTTGGATTTCCTTCTCACTTCACTGACACTGGAGTGACCAGTAATTCAACCCGTCGTTGTATTTTGGGTAGGTCTTTTGCTGTTCCAGTTATTAAATGGATTCTGTCTGAACTGCGGTTCATTTTTAAGACCAATGACCAATGAACTGTACATCACCCTTCATTGTTGCACTGTACTCATTTCATTGTAATATTATTTTAAATGGTCCACGCCACTCCATATATGCAATAAATAGCCATCAACCAAGTACTTTTGTCTCCTCTGCACTACGCCTACCCCAAAGTAAGTCAAAAAAAAAAAAAAGCAGCACTTACGAAAAGCAACACTGTTTGGCATTAAAGTTACATTTACATAATTTTCAATCATCTGTACAGCACACCAGCCAGTCAAGCCTCTAACTTCATGATACTAGGCAAAAGTTAGAGAATGTTTCGTGAAAATAAGAGCACAACCTCAAAGC